TTACAATAATAGTTTTTTCCAATTTATATTTATTTTAATATTGAGACATTGGATTCTCCGCTTTCAGTTTTGTAATTAGAGATATTGTGTAAAAAGGATTTTAATTAAAATAAATAAAAACTAGAAGGAAATAAGATGGGGACAGAGTAGATAATTTAGGTTTTCTCTTTTTAATTGGTTTAAAAAAAAAGGAAAATATAAAAATTGCGTTGCTTCTAGATTGTCTTGTCTCTTCCGTGTACTTTTGAAATGGTATATATGTTCAAATTTCGGGTAAAATTTTGACCGACGTTATCCATACATGTGGAATTTATAAATTATTAAACTTCATTTTCAACCACATTTTTAATATATCTAATTCGTATTTGAGCCATATTTGTTTTTTTTAAATGCATTTTTGAATAGTGTATTGATGAAAAATGTGTGATTAAAAAATAAGGAAAAATTTTGAATTTACGTGTAAATCCAGAAAATATGTAGTTAAAATGAGGTCAAAATACTATTTAAAAATGTATCTTAAAAAAAACAAAAAACAGAAAGGGACTCAAACAAGGACAGCCAATCTATTTGGTGCAGAATTTGAAATTTGAATTTCATGTCGAATAGACGTAAACGTGAAGGAGCCGGAGGTGTAATTTTCAGTCTTGAGGCATTTTTGTCAGACGAGAATGAAAGGAACATTGGAAAATTTTAAGAAAAAATAAAATTATCTTTAGGAATAATTAATCATTTTATTTTTAAGTACAGAAAAATCTTTTTTTTTTTGTAATTAATTATTACATTGTTGTCAAAAATAAACAACTTACTACTTTTAACTCGGACTAAAATTTAAAAAAAAATTATTGTTTCTTTCCTCATTTTTAATTATTATATATTTTGAAATGTATCATTAAATTTAATAATAATGTTATATAGCATTAATAGTGTTACAACACTAGTTTACATTGCATTAAGTGATAGATTGAATGAACGATAAAATTAAACAATTTATTTAATTATATTTTCCATTTAATATTACATTAGTGCCACTTAGAATGATATTTTTTAATATCGATGGTACTAAATAACATTACTCTAAATTTAAAGATGATTTGAATAATTTAAGAAACGGAGCATAAACCTGCAACTTATTAAATACAGTTATCATAAAATATAAATAGAGAGTATTTAACTCCCTAAAGTTTACGACAAGCGCTCGGTTAAATTTAAAGGTTTTTTTTTTTTTAATTTCAACATTTTCCTTCCAAACTCTAATTCAAGTTACTAACCACCAAGGCTTTGCTAATGCTGAGTTATACCTTGATTGTTAAATTTAAAGAGTAGTGTTATTCATTATCACTGGTATTGAACACCGATTTTTGGGCAATTATATGAAATTAAATGATAGATTCATTTAAATGTAAAGTCGAATAATTTATTTAATTCAATCTAGAAAGTTCAACCAAATAAATTGGTGGTCCGACATCACTGATACCATTAATGCTAGATAACATTATTTAAATTTAAAAGTTCCATCAAATTTCTTGCTCTCTTTTTTTTCCAAGGTCAAATATATTGGGATACTATAAGATTTGGAAATCTCAAATGAATCATCCTATTGTATGCGCGTGTAAAGTTAAATTCTAGAGAAAGCTCTTAATTATTTGATAGTCAAATCATTCTTTTTAGGAGTTCAATAAACTCTTTATGTCTAAATTCTAAAATAAATAGTGAGAGCTTGTTTGGTAGAAATTAAAATCGAATTAAAATTGAAAAACTAATCGTTATTGTTGACTTTTATTAGACGAGTGGGATCCAATAATGACTATATTTTCAATTTTAATTGGATTTTAAGCTATCCCAAACAAGCTCTAACTATAGATTAATCAATCGGTTGGGAATTTACTTAAAAGTGAAATTTAAACACGATTCCCAACATTTTCAACCACACATTTTTCAATAAAATAATATTTTCCATCACATCAATAATTTTTTCTTCTTTTTCAACCACACATGTCCCATCATATCACTATTCAAAATCAATTCTTCCCCCAAAAAATCTCTACCAAATAAGCTCTAAAACTTGTAGTGCTATTATTTATTTTAAAAATCTTCATGCATGTCTTTCAAAATAAAAAGGAAATAATAAAAGAAAAAGAGGAAACTAGGTAAAAAAAGAAAAAAATTATAATTAAGTGATAAAAAAATTAAATAAAAAACATTTAGTGCTTTTATTTGTTATTTTACAATTCCTTATGCATCTCTTTCAAAATAGATAGAAGATATTGAAAAAAAAAAAGGGAAATTAAGTAAAAATAATAATAATATTGAATGATAATCATTTATAAAATTATCAAAATAAAGATTAGATATAAATTAATATTGTTGAAGTCGATGTTCACTTCCCAAAAGTACTCATTTCTTTATTTATTGGTCCACATTTTAATAAAGACATTAAATAACCCTCCTCGTGAGTCTCGAGAATTGGTAGGTGAATTCTGGAAAATAATAAAATATTAATATTAACTCCAGTAATTTCAAATGAGTAATGCTACATGTACATACACACTTTTACACAATCTTTTACACCTCTCTCACACGGAGGGGGGTCCACGATTATTTTATTATGTGTGGGCTCCCCCTTCATGTGAGGTGGGTGTAAAAAATTGTGTAAAAGATTGTGTACACTTAGTATTATTCATTTCAAATTGGTCCATTCTATTCTATGCCCATTTGATTCCCCTTTTTTTTCTTGGGTAAAATGTATTATAAAAGAATAATGCTATTAGTCTCACTGGATTACAATCACAGTATATGGGCGTTAGTGTGACATTAAATAAGTCATTTAATTTTACTTTTTATTTAACATATAATTTAGAGTCACATAGACTGGAGTTACAACCCAGTGGGAATAATATTTATATCAATCATTTTAAAAACAGATTTTTAAATCATTTGAAATCAACAGTCTGAATTTTGCCAACACATTTTGTAACCCAACTTTTGTAACTCAACTTTGTACAAATAACTTTATTGTTAATTTGTTATAAAATAGTGATTTTTTTTTTTGAAGAATGCGTGGTTAAAAATTAAGAAAAACTTTTGAAATACGTTATAATTATTTTATGGGAGAATTTGTAGTTAAAAATGAATTTCGAAAAAATGCATTATTGAAAAAATGAGGCTCAAACATGGTGTAGATATTCTGGAAATTAGTAAAATATTGAACTTTGAATTAAGGACCTGTTTGGGAGGGATTATATTTTTCTACAGTAAATCAATTCTCATTTTCAACCATATATTTTTCAATAAAATAATATTTTTCATCACATCAATACTTTTTTCTTCTTTTTCAACCACACATTTCCCATCATATCACTATTCAAAAATCAATTCTTCCCTAAAAATCCAATTCCACCTTAAATGAGCAACAAATGCTGTCTTAAATTTGTATAGCGGAATACAGCTTGTTTGTCCCTCCTTTTAGAGCATGTTTGGTACAGATTCTCATTTTCTACAGTAAATCAATTCTCATTTTCAACCATATATTCTTCAATAAAATAATATTTTCCATCACATTAATAATTTTTTCTTCTTTTTCAAGTTTCAACCACACATTTCCCATCATATCACTATTCAAAATCAATTATTCCCCAAAAAATCTCTCTCAAACAAGCTCAAGTTAGTTGTACATGCACGACTAATTTGACACTCTTTGAAATTACTCGTGTTAAAGAGTGTAAATAAAATTGTCAACCACGATGCAAAATACGACGAAACTGGTACAGTTTTACCTACCAAGAGATAAGAAGTAAACGATGGACAGACAATACAAGGTAAGTAAAGGGGGGTAGGTGAAACTCGTGGCTAATGAATTGACTACCAAACAGTGCTACGCACCTCTCCTTTTGTGTGTCCAAGATTGGACACATGTCATTCTTATGTAAGTTTAAATTTTTAGATAATCTTCCTTTAACTTTTTAGAAAAATATACATATTTAAATTTTCGCAATGGAGGCAGACAATATGGACGTTTTCCCCCCAATTACCTATATTTCACAGAAAAATTTGATAGAATGTGACGGAAATGGCCAACTCCTTAATAAACGTTCGAAATGAGAGTATAAATGTCAAGTTCAAAATAATAGGGACTACTTTTGAAATGAATCCAAATAATAGGGATTTTTTTGCTAATTATCCTTTATTTTATTTTCCCATTTGACTCTATTTTTTAAAACTTATTTTTTAATTTCATTTATAGTCACATATTTTATAATACACGCAACTTTTAAGGCTTGTTTGAGCCTCATTATTTTGAAAAAGCGCATTTTTGAATAGCGATGATGGAAAATATGTGGTTAAAAAATAACGTTAAATTTTGTATTTGTATGTAATATTATTTTATTAGAGAATGCGTAGTTGAAAAGAAGACGAAAAAATGTATTTTGAAAATAATGAAAATCAAACAAGGCCTTAGCAAACTTTTCTATCATACATTTTATCAACTTTTATTATAATCTATAAAAACTCTGAATTTTAACTATACTAATAGTCTGTTTGATCCCCATTTTTGTGTAACATGAATTTTGAAATAATATATTGATGAAATAAAATATGTGGTTAAAAAGAAATGAAAATTTTTTGGATTATATAATATTATTTTATTGAAAAATGTGTAATTACAAAAAAAAAAAAAAGAAATGAGTTTGTCATTTTATAATCTCGCGCACAGTGTCAGATTTTTAATCAAATAAATAAATATTGTATTTTTTGGATGGATTGTATCCGAGCAGATATCAAATCTAGGTATTTGCATAAAGATGCGTGTTCCTTTTTGATGTATTCAAATTTCAAATAAGCACGCACGTGTGAGATTCCAACACGTGTAACTTTTACACAGTTCCAACAACTCCCCACCTTGACTTATTTATAGGAAACCGCCCACTACAGGAAGGACCGTGAAAGTACTTTCCCGTTTATTGTTTGACATAAAGGGAAGACATTAATTCAAGCTAGTGAAAATGGGTGGAGATAAGGTGCTTACGGCTCTGCTAGTTGTGGTTCTTGTGGCGGTGACAGTTGGGGCTCAAGAGGTTCAAGGTCCGGTGCACCATGTCGTAGGCGGCGACCACCGTTCCGACATCGGTTCTTGGTTGTCCGGTCGAGTCTTCAGGGTTGGTGACAAAATCTGTAAGCATCTATCTTCTTTGAAGCTTTATGTTTCGTTTTAATTATTATTATTATTTTTTTTTAGAGAAAATAAGATTAAAATCTCAGTGAAAGTGTTGAAAGTTCACATATAAGCAACTTAAGCTCACTCCAACGTATGGACTATGCAGGGTTCACCTACTCAGCACCACAGGAAAGCGTCGTCGAGCTGCAGAGCCTGGAGGAATATAAATCGTGTGATCTCTCTAACCCTATCAAGATGTACACGGACGGCGTAAATCAAATTCCACTTGAAAGGGAAGGGAGCAGGTACTTTGTGATTGGGAACCAGGAAAATTGCAATAATGGTCTGAAGCTACATGTTGATGTGAAGCCTTCTGAGCCACAGCAGCTACCTGACCCTAACCCTAGCCCATGGGTGCTGCCTCCACCGGAGCCCAAGCCTGAGCCTTTGCCGCACATACCGCCCCCACCCTATCCCTCTGCCTCAACCCAACTGAACGGGCTTTCGTTTGGGCTGGCTGTTGGTCTTCTGCTTTGCTTTTTGGGCCTGTAGTTTGCCCTTTTATTAAGGATCTGTTTGGATGGTTGGGATAATTAATAACTGCTTTTGTGTGTACTATTAAAAAAACCACCTTGCTTGGTTGTATTTGAACCAGTTTTATTGGGTTCTATCATCTGTGTGAACTTGTTCTAGTATTTGCTAATAGGATATTTTGCCCAGTTTGAAATGAACTATTTTGTTCGAATCGGATTTCTTTTCTTTTCCATCTATGTCAAATTAAATATTTTCAGATTTAGGTGTATTCATTTAAATATTGTATTCAAAGCAAGGACTTGAACTAATTTCATTTGAACATGAATCCTCAAGTCCCTTACCTATTTCAACTTTGAATCTAGGTTTAAATTTGCCAACAAAATCCTGTGGTCGCTTGTGTCTTCAGCAATAAAAAGGCCTTTATTTAAATATTGAACTTTTTTCTTATCTAAAACACGAACACGCTGCAAATAAGTGGAATTGGAATTTTATAGATGAACATGAGATAATATTTATTATTTACTCAAATTCTCAGGATTTGTTAGTTTTTTACAATAAATACATTATTTGTGAATGACCTCATCGTAATAAGGAAAAGTCAAGAACATGATTTTGTCTTAATTCTTTCTTTAAGAATTTTATCTTAAAATGTCGATCTTTCTTAATAAAAAGATTAGTTTAAACATTTATTTATCGACTAATATTTTCATCAAAAATTACCCTCAGCCAGCATTACCATTGCAAAATGTTGGCTTATTTAAACAAAACCAATTGTGGAATCCAAATGCTCGTTTGATCTTTTATATGAACCGAATTGTCCGTTCAAACTTAATGGTATCTGAATTTTCACGTTGCATTTGTTGTTCCATTGATGAGACCTATTGACCTGGTTTCTACATTACAATAAAAAACCCAGATAATCACATCATCAATGCTGAAACCACAGCAGAAAAATTATTACAATCTGCAATGCTTTGATATAATAGCGTTAACAACCACGAACTATATACATTTGAGACAAACGACGAAGAAAGCGGCGAATTTGTACAAGTTTTTGTCCAGCAAATCAACAATACCAAATAAGAAGCGAACCAAATCAGTGCAAACTTCATCGAGAGCAACTCATACATTCCTGATAAAAATTACCACTCGTCTAAGTTTGAATAGCTTTAACCACCCAAAAGAAAGTTCAAAACTATTTTAACTAAAGCTGAAAAAGAGACAATATATGTCGGGTATTATTCGAGCCTTTCCAAAAATATAACTAACAAATATAGGAGTTATACGTTAACAAAGTTGCAGGATATTAACAAGATAAAAGAATATTGTTTGAAGAAATGTTCTTTTTCCCTTCCGGTTAAGAATGCGGTTATAAAATTCTTCCACGCATATATCTCTTATTCAATAATAGAAAAGAAAAAATAAAAGCTTCAAAACAAGTTCAACATTTATGCATCCATGAATTTGCCAAATAAAACTTCACAGGTGCTCGAGGATGTAACATTTTTTTGAGAGAGTTACCTCTCTCTCAAAACTACGTAGTTTGCCTCTTGAGTCTTCTGTATTTTTGATATTCTTCTGAGTGTAGCCGCAAAAGCATCCTTGTCCTGCATTTAAGTAATTTACTCATTAATTATCATAAGCAATATATCTTGCATTAACACGTTTATGTACTCGAACTATTAAGCATATAAAAAAAAAAAAAAACACTCTCCGAATTAGTAATCATCAAAAATCCAACAAGAAAAGGAACCATCAAGTTAAATAAGCATCAAATGACGCATCTTTTACCTCTTTTGACTTCAGTCTAGATTTAAATTTGCCAACAAGATCCTGTGTGGTCACTTGTGTCTTCTGCAATAAAACGGCCTTGATTTCATCTGCTGTAACTGGTCCAGTAGGTGGCGTAGCCCCGATTTTTGAAGGTGCCGAAGGTAATACAGTTTTAGGAGGTGTACTACTTTTTGCTGAAGATGCAGTCTCATTTTTCACGGACTTCAGTTCCTTAATCACCACCCCCAGAAAAAAAAAATATATATATAAGGAAAATAAAGAGGGAACACTATTAAGAAAGTTTTCTAGAAAAGAAAAGATGGTAAATAAGTTTCATGTGAAATACACTGAAGGCAACTACTTACATTTTCTGTTTTTGTTTTCTTCATAGGTGTAGCATTAGTTGTTTTCGACTCCTCACCACTAACTTTTCTTTTCCCCTTTGAAGACTTAGAAGTAGGCGGGGTTCCTCGACCAGATCCAGAAGTAGCAGCCTTCAATGGACTGTTGTTCTCAACCGGTTCTTCTTTAAGAGCTTCCTTCTTGGGGGCAAGTACGGGAGAAATGTCATCTTCCATCTAATAAAACAAACAAATAATGCACTCTTGTTGGCAAGCAAGTAAAAGAAAAATGAGATGAACTGTGACTCCTTACAACTGTGCCAAACTGCCAAAGTAGATAGCAAATAAAAAGTCTTCTATCAGGTAAAAGTGCCAACTCAACCAAATGCAGCCATCAGGGGATAAAATAAGGAGGAAATTCAGTGCTGAAGACTAAATTTAAATAAATAAATTTGCCCCGGCCTTTTAATAGCTTAAGCCTTAAGATCTCGAGTTCAACTCTCTTCATCAACCATTAATGAAAACTGTGCACATGTTTTGACGAAAAGATGAAGAATCCTGCCTCCATGTGAGGAGATACGTTGTAGCTAAATTTAAACAAATCAAGCTTAAGCTTTATATGAGATAATTCAACAGTCATAGCCCCAGAAGAAAGAAGGGTTTGGGTTTGTCTACTCATTTTCCTTAAAAATACAGCATTCTTTGGGCATTGTAACAGAACTGCATATAACCTCTCCAAGTGATGAGTTATTTAATTTTTAACCCCCTCAAGATAAATGGAGATTTTCAGTATTATATATAATTTCATTCCTCAATATAGTATTTGGAGAATACAACAAGAAACCTACATCGTCATCGTCGTCGTCGTCATCTTCCCCATCCGAATCACTCAACCCATTAGATCTTCCAAGCAGTTTCTTCAACTCCTTTCCAGATTTGCTCAGCCCTCCCTCCTCTTCATCGGCTTCATCCTCGTCCTCTTCATCCTGAAACAAATTAAAAATGTCAGAAATATAACACATGAGATCATGGATCACATTACAACAGAACCATCAGAAATGGATAAAATGGAAGACAGAACAATCATTTTTTAACATTTAATGGGTAGAGTCAACCTCCAACAAGATATCAAAATCCAACTTCCAAACTAATCATATTCCAGAAAGGGAACTGCACATTAGGAGAGAATAAGAGTTATTTTTCAAAATGAAAGAACAAAAGAAAGGAAGGAAGACATCTCAAGATTTATAGGCACTTCACCAGATTTGAAAATGAATGCTAATTCTTGTGACATATAGTATGTTTATTTTCCATAAGATTCCAACAAAGCTCGTAAATATTTTTCTTCTTTCAGGATAGGCCTTACTGTAAAGGTACCTTGTCAATAAAAATTATACGTGAGTAATTCAAGAAGTACCATCCAGACCACGTGTCGATGACCGCTTATTGGCTTAGCGCGAATGGCCTTGGGGCATTAAGCACATTCAAGCGACTTTATGCATCTCAAAAGGAGTAACCTAAAAACCCAGTAAAAGTCGGGAACCATGCCAGTGGCATTAAGCGTTAATTACTAGATCTCTGTATTTGACCCCGATGCACAAAACTCCACCCTCCTCTGTCTCACTCTGGCAAAAGGTTTCATAAAGCATTCCAGCAACCAAAATTACCATTTCTCTACAATTTGCAACTTTCTGCAATCTGGAAGGGATTCCACACCTCATAATCGTCTTAAATAAGAGCATTTAACATGTGGACTTGATTGCATTCAGTCCTCAATTATTTTCTATCAATTGATTCAATTTGCATAGCTAAGCATAACCTATACCATGCAATGTATTTTTCTAGCCATTGTTTCATGTCAGGATCATTAAGTTTAGAGGCACAAAGGTAGCAATCATAAAATGTGAAAGCAAGAAATAAATTAAGTAATTATTTACATAAATTTAGCAATATAATTAATCACCTGCTTAATTTCTGGAGGAGCAGGGATTTCAGGGGCCAAATCTTCTCGTTCCTCAGGATCATTGCCGACAGCTTCATCGTCATCAGTGAAAATTTCTTCATGCTCCCAATCATCACCTAGAATAAAAAATCCTTATAAATAAAATCAACTCTCTCCTTGTAAAAGCACCTCAGCAAGGAACTATGATGCAGCAACTTAGAAGATTGACATATCTACCTCGTCAAACTATCCAAAGATATAAGGACAGCAGAAACATGCACAATCACTTGTTAGTACTAATAGGAATAAAATATGATGAACAAGACGCGACTCTATTTGGAAATGCTATCACTAAATTATTTCCGAGCAAAATATATTGTCAGACAACTCTTCACATAAAAACAAACATGGGCACACAGACAAAGATAGAGATAACCACTCAATGACTGCAGGTGTTAGTTCAACAAAATTCGTACTGTCCCAACTATAGTCTCATTGGGTATGGGCACAACTGATTTATCACCCTTTTTGACAGCCTATGACACAATAAAAACCTGAAACGAGTGCTGGAGGTACAAAACCTTTTAAGAATGCAATAACAAAGAAATTACAGGAACCAGACCCTTTTCAATATCATCATCATCAAAATCAAGATCACCGCCTCTTGGTCCTTCTTCATCATCATCCCCACCCTTTTTGTTGAGTCCGAGCCTACTTTTTCTAGCTGCCTCTTCTTCTTCATCTTCCTCTCCCCTATCTGAAACATTGGTTTCATCATCGTCCTCTGCAGATTTTTTACGTCCCCTCGCACTACCACCTCCACTTTCCCGATCATCAAGCTTTTCTACTTCACCAAAGGCGGCAGCTCCATTGTTTGCCGCTTTCATCATCCATCTTTGGTACCCATCGGCAGTTTTCCTCCTATTTTTCATCTTCTCTTCCGCTTCCTCCAAAGTGAGTTG